AAGGACAATGCGGTACTTCTCCCAAGGGCATATTTGTCCTTAAAATTTCCACTTAAACATTTTTTTAATGAACAAAATTAAACACATCCTTCTACCACGTACTAACAACTAACAACCACAGAAATGGCATCTCCACCGTTCATGTCTCTCATCCAACGGCACTCCTTATCCAACTCTTATCACCAATAAAAAACGGAAAAAAAAAACAAAAACAAAAACAAAAACAAAGACAAAAAACAAAGGTCACTCTCTCCTCACTACCACTCTGAACTTCTGTCAGTCTGAAGCCTGTATATATATTCCCCTCCCATCGCTGGAGTTTCCTCGCACTCGCATTCGAATTCGCTTACACCTTTCTCATCTTGAAGCTCTGCATCCGAATCTTACAGAGGTAGATCTCTTTTCTCTTTTCTCTTCTCTCTTCTCTCTTCTCTCTTCTTCTGTTCTTCATTTCATTTCACTGTTTATCACCTTAGATCTTGAATTCTGCATCTGATGTAGTGCGATTGTATGAATCTTGGGATCGATCTAAGTCCATGTTGTTTTGAGTTCTGCTGCATGAAGAATGACGATCTTCTGTTTTCTTCTGAGTTTAATCTTCTGCATTGCGTAATCTTGTGTTCGATTGAAGTTTCGATGATTTCTATGCTTCTGTTTTTGTTGTTAGTCGATATGTGCTTTCCGAAATTGTTTAGTGCCTTCTTTGGCGATTGATGGATTTCCTTTGCGATCTTCATTTTCTATTGATTCGATTTTGTTACAGTATATTTCTTCCCAATCCGAGTAGATCTTTCAATTCTGATGTCGAAATTAGTTATGGACTGCTACTTTTGTTTGTTCTAAGAGAAAATTTGCTGGATCTAGTTTTATGTTGACTGTTGCCACTGTGTGTAAATTGTGATGCGGTTGAAGTTGTTTCCTTGCCAATTGCCATACTATTTGCTAGCTATCGTTTTTAGTTAAAATTTCCGCAAGTCCTAGTGTTTGGCGTTGGTTAACTGCGTTTTGTTCTTTCAATTAGTATGGTACTTCATCTCGTTTCATGTAATCTGGTTGGTTTTTTAATCGGCAGAATGGATTTTATTAAAAGGGAGACTGGAAAGGGACTAAAGGGATACTCTAACCCTTGCATCAAAATAAGATTATATGG